ACGGGCGGATCACGAGGTCAGGAGATCGAGACCATCCTGGCTAACACGGTGAAACCCCGTCTCTACTAAAAAAAATACAAAAAACTAGCCGGGCGGGCGCCTGTAGTCCCAACTACTCGGGAGGCTGAGGCAGGAGAATGGCGTGAACCCGGGAGGCGGAGCTTGCAGTGAGCTGAGATCCGGCCACTGCACTCCAGCCTGGGGGGCAGAGCGAGACTCCGTCTCAAAAAAAAAAAAAAAAAAAAAAAAAAAAAAAGACACTCCAGAGAGTTCCCTTGCCCCTTTTATCACATAAGGACACAGCAAAACGGTGTCATCTATGAACCAGAAAGTGGGTTCTCACTAGACACCCAATCTGCTGGCACCTTGATCTTGAACTTCCTAGACTCATGAACCCTAAGAAATTGCTGTCCTTTATAAGCCTACAGTATTTTTGCTATAGCAGCCCTAATAACTAAGACACCCACAATTGCTTTTTCACAGCACTCAAATCTGAAATTATAAAATTTATTTTTAACGTTTATCACCTATCTGTCCACACTAGAATGTGAGTTCAATAAGATAAGACCTCCACTCTCTAATTCACCACTGTATCTCTAATACTCAGAACATTTCCTAACAATTTGTAAGTGTTCAATAGGTATAGCTAATGAATGAATTGCCCTGAGAAATACAATCAAGAGAGAATTTTCTTTGAGAGGCATGGAAAAAACAGGAAGGCAATTCTGGTGAACACTGGAAGAGGATTCTGCCTGACCTTCCCTTCCTTTAGGGTGGCAAATCTGAGGCTCTTGAGAGACTACAAATCTTGTACAAGTAGGAGGCACAGAGGACCAGCCCAGGAGCTGATTAGAGAGGCTTGTACACACCACACACAACAGAGACACACATAGGCTGGGTGCAGTGGCTCACACCTGTAATCCCAGCATTTTGGGAGGCCGAGGCAGGTGGATCACGAGGTCAGGAGATGGAGACCATCCTGGCTAACACGGTGAAACCCCATCTCTACTAAAAACACAAAAAATTAGCCGGGCGTGGTGGTGGGCGCCTGTAGTCCCAGCTATGGGAGGCTGAGGCAGGAGAATGGCGTGAACCTGTGAGGCAGAGCTTGCAGTGAGCGGAGATCGCTCCACTGCACTCCAGCCTGGGCGACAGAGCGAGACTCTGTCTCAAAAAAACAAAATCAAAAACAACAAACAGACACACACACACATACACAAAGACATGCTGTGTTAGCCTATGTGAAAGGGAAAGTTGTATTCAAGGCAAGGACCAACGATTAAATGTTTAAACATTCTTCTGTATAGTAAGCCAAAATATCATAAGGATAAATGTACAAATAGAATGCTGAGGAGCATCCAAAATAATATATCTATCACATTATTCTGTTAATATATATATCACATTATTCTGTTATATACATTACAGGTCATGTGAGGAATCTGAAACTCTCTGAAGCCCTGCCCAAATGTAGGAAGCCATTTAGCGCTGTTCAAGATGTCTAAGATTGGTAATTCTTGACATATGAATGAATGACTGCCTCGGTTCAGCTGTTCTTTTTCTAAATCATTTTTAACAAGTACATTTAATGGCCATTACTGTTTTATTCATGTTAGGTTATCATTATTGCAGTTAACCTCACATTTACTTTGCTACTATCCTTCTCTGAAAATGTTTGACATTTTAGTTGGTTTTGATTTGTCTTTCTGGTCACACTCCATTAATAATAACTTAAATATGAATAGTCCTTTTCAGCTTACAAAGAATTCATATTATCATTTGTACCTCTGAACAGCTTTGAGGGATAGACAGAGATTATAATTTCTATTTTATAGGTAAGAAAATTGAGGCTTAGTTAAGATAAGGGACTTGTCCAAGGTCATAGGCATGAAGAATGGCAGAGTCAAAACTTAAATACAAGTCTTTTGACTTATTTGACAGTGCTTTTGTCATATGACATGACACCCATCACTAAGCCAGCCTGGCTGGCAAAGATTCAATGTTTACATATGTTTAGATATGCTTATGTTCAAGAACACAAACACACACACACACCCAGCTGTCAAACAAATAGAAATCAAAGAAAATATTAAGGAGAACTCACAATATTATTGTGCTCCACATTCCCAGAAAGAGAGGCATGAAAACCCACTATCACAATTTCTTCCCAGCAAAAATTTGCAGGTTCCTTCTTTCTCGCCAGGTGTTTGTATAAAGTTACCCAAATTTGATGTTCTTTTTAGTGATTTGGGAGAACCATCACACCACTTTGACCACCAAAAATATCCTCAGGGACAGGAGAAAAATTAGTAGGAATAAGTAAAGCGGTAAATTCTAACTAGGGCCCTTACATAAATATTCAAGTTAAAACTGAACAAAGTTTATTTGGATAAAGAGCCAGAGAAATGGCAGATGGCAGACCTAAGGAGCTGGTTTAGAGGAGAGAAAGGCCAAGCCTATGAGAGGAAATAATTCAACTGGTATTCTTCCAGGCATTTCATCTCCTTCCAGTTTTCCAGTATTTCATTAGATTGTCCTGGTTTAAAGATTGTTAAGTATAATCCAACACATCCACTGAATTGATGGAAGGGTGAAGGGCCAAACATGCTAGCTTATTATTACAGACTTTACCACAAGTCTGGGGTTCAATAACCAAATTCATTCATCCCCAAAAGTAGAATTAAGCACCAGCTTATACATTACCAGATATTACCACACATTTCTGATATGGACTAACACTTTCAGATCTCTAGTAACTGTCTTGCAGACATTGAATGTTAGAGCTAAACAAGACTTCAGAGAACCTCCAAGTCTTATTTTAATAAATGAAGAACTTAAAGAAATCTGTTTAGATACACATAACCAGACAAGAAATAAGTACTGATCTTTGAGTGAAAAAAGCAAAAAATAGAAGTGTGTATAGTATACTGCAACTTATGTTTGAAAGGGATGTATATTATATGTGCATATCCACAGACTATCTGAAAAATATGAGGAAAAATTGTTGCTTCAAATATAAGGGATTTTAGATACTGGAGAACAGAAGTAGGAGGAAAATTTACTTTTTGCTAGATATCCTTTGCCACTCAATAACAGTTTACACATCTGTCACCCCTACTAAGAGTACAAGCTCCTTGTTGGTAAGGCCCACTGACCATATTATATTCATCTTAGTATTCCCAAATGGGCCTAGCAACTGTTTCTTCATTTTTTCAGAGGAAAAATGATTAGTTAGTATATTTAGAAAAATTGTAAAGCATTGAACTTTGTGATAGGGATTCATTTTAAGTATTTTCTTAGGTGCTTTTTATTAACCAATCTTTTTGTGGGCTGTTTACACTCTTGGCATTACCCTTGAATAGGATATTGCAAAATCAACACACATTTTCTAAGAAGTGGAAAACTATGATCCAGAATTAAGTAAGACAAACGCAAAGAAAACAACTCCTGTGAGAATGGAAATTGAATTATTTATAGACAGAAGTTTTTTCAAAGTTTTCCAGAAGACACTTACATTAAAAATTGTGAGAAACTTGCCACTTCTCTCTCTCTCTAGCATTATGATGACATGCCCCTTAAGATTCAAATTTTCATTAAGTCCCTTAATAAAGTGTGAGCATGTAATGGGTGTATGCCCAGTGTTAGTACTACAGGGGACGGGGCTGGGCAGGCAGAATATTGAACAGACCTAAGTGTGTACCACACTGGCCCTCTAGTGTGCGTTTGCCAACAATGCACTTATCTGGCTGTCTGGTTTTAGGCCTAGGGCGTTTCCAAACAGAGGTCTTTTCAAGCTGGTTTTTATAAACAGATAAGCCCCATTTATATTAATTCTGTTTACTGCCAATTTGTAAAGAGTGCTATTAATGGGCTTAGAAACAGCATATTCTTATCAATAGTTAAACATCTCCCTCGTATTTATACAACTAATTTGCTTCGTAAACTCCTTTCTTTCATAAAAGGACAAAGATAGACTTTAATGGTCCAATTAACCAATTTCTAAACCAATGAATTCATAGTATTTAAATACAAGAAATAAAGGTGCATAATTATGATAGTGATTTTTAAAATATTTCATACTGTCACATGAAGAAGCATTTTTCTCTTCAATTCAGAAGACTTCCGCAGTCTTTGTTGCAGTTTGCTCTTTACATTTACATTTGTTTGAGACTACATCAAAGCAGCCCTCATCTGGCAGATGAAAACTCTCTACTGTAGCATAAAGCCTATAAATTATTAACTGTTTCCATTTAGAATTTAATTTTGGCACTTACTAACAAAGCCTAACTTGCCACCAGTTTTGCCTCCTTTTATCAGAATGTATTCTGTTAGGATTAGATTTCATGCAAATGTAGACTGCCCAAACTAACAGTGGCTTAAAGAAGATAGAACTTCACTTCTCTCTTGGGTAAACAAAGTCCAGATTTAAGGATTGGTATGGCATCTTGTATTCAACCAGGACTGAGGTTTCTTCTAGCTTGTTTTGTCATCCTCCATGCACTGCATTCACCTCATGGTCCAAGATCAGCAATCCAGCAATCCAGCAATCCAGCAAGAAGGAAGGAGGAAGGGGAAGACATGCCCACTCCTTTTTAGGATTCTTCCTGGAAGGTACACCCATGACAACTACACACAATTGGCCAGAATGGCTGAAATGGCCCTGCCTGGCTGAAATGTCTTCATTCTGGGCTGCTCAACTCCCAGGTGAAGACGGGAAAACAGGGGAAGAAAGGCAGAATCGATATGAGGGACAACCAGTAGTCTCTCCCATAGTCTGTGTTCCCACCAATTGCCTTTGTTTGACAGATTCCACTCTTCTCTATTTTTCATTTGTTTGTTTTCTATAGAAAGGTAGCATTTTTCTTTTCATTTGCCTTCTATCATGAAGTTCTGATGTTAAAGACTGTTTCCCTTTTATTCCCCGCTTCTATCTCTAAATAAACTTAAGTCACCTGGCCTTGCAGAGTTTCACCAAGTTGGTGCATTGGTTCCTCCCACAGGTGATGGCTGTGCTGCCTGGCCCTCTGCAGCTGCTGGGAGTGCTGCTTACCATTTCCCTGAGCTCCATCAGGCTCATTCAGGCTGGTGCCTACTATGGGATCAAGCCGCTGCCACCTCAAATTCCTCCTCAGATGCCACCACAAATTCCACAATACCAGCCCCTGGGTCAACAAGTACCTCACATGCCTTTGGCCAAAGATGGCCTTGCCATGGGCAAGGAGATGCCCCACTTGCAGTATGGCAAAGAGTATCCGCACCTACCCCAATATATGAAGGAGATTCAACCGGCGCCAAGAATGGGCAAGGAAGCAGTACCCAAGAAAGGCAAAGGTAATATCACACTCCCAGGCTGTTATAAAACAACAGCTTTCCCAACCTCTAAATTATGGGATCAGAGGGGGAAGATCTATTTGAGAAACTTTAGTTTTAGAATTTGTTATTGGCATTTTTAAAATGCCTACTGTGTTCTAAACCATATTCTTGAAAAGTTCAAACCTTAAAGATACAGATAAGATTACCATTTATGTTTTGCTTTGTTATTTTAAATAGCATCAGATGAAATAAAATATGTTAAATCACAAATAGTCTATCCTCTTATTATTTATTTATTCAAACATTCAGCAACTTTCTATAGGGAGCACCTATTTGTGTCAGGCTCTGGGCCAGATGCTGGGAGCTAAAGCAGTGAAAACAAAGAAAGGTGACAAGTCAGTCTTCTGAACTAAGAGAACAATGTTGTAAGGACCTGCTGTGTTAAAAGTCACATGAAAGCATTTTGCGAACAAAGTATTAGATAAGTGCAAGTGTTTTTAATACTACTCTAATTACATATGTCAATCAATAGATCAACAGAAGGAAACTAAGAGTACAGACTGCATCTAGGGATGACACCTGAAAATCTCTCCTGTTGCTTTCTTGACATATTTATTTAGCACCTACAAAATGCCCCTCAGTGTGATAGACACTGAACAATAAATTCATTTCGTTTGTCTGGAGTTCTCAGAAACCTAGCATTTGCTGCATCAGAGGAGCAATTACCTTTGAGGAAGTGGAGCCAGTCCCACTAGTCCCTACAATGGCAGGAAGCTCCACCTCTGGAGAACTACTGGATTTGGAACTTAGAGGCCTAGATGCCTGGATGCTAGAAATGAAAGAGACCTATTCATTTGACCTTTCTGAGCCTATTTTTCTTCATTTGTAAAATAAGATTGTTGATACAATCAGTGACATACATGCTAAGCAAAGTGCTGAGTAAATGCTAAAGCACCATAGGAAACTGGAGTTACTACAACTGCTCATTCAACAAATCCTCAGTAAGAACAGAGTGTGTTCCAGGCACTGTGCTAGACACCAGGGATTCCTGATTCATCTCTCCTACTCTTCCCCAAATAACTCAATACAGTTAACTACACAATTCACTGGTTAGAAATAGCATGCCTGAATAGTACTATAATCATATCTATTCACATAAAGAAATATTACTGACTTTCTACTCTTTAGGAGCTCGTACTATACTTAGAAGATTATCTCAGACATTTCTTTTCCTTCCTTTATTGAATGGCTTGCCTGGCCTTTGGCACTTCTTGTACTTACTCTGATGGGTACTCATATTTTAAAAGAATATGAATTCTCTGTTTGTATTTTATTCCCGGACAGTAAGTCAGTGAAAAGTACAATGGTCAGGATTAAGGTGCTACTAGTGACATAAGCATTATGCCAAGAAGATACTGGGACCATACATTTCATTTCTCCATGTTATCCATTAGTCCCAGCAGCATGGGAGATCCAGAGTTGTGTTTCTCTGAAAGGCACAGCATGTTCATTCTAACGGCATGTGCTGTGTATTTCAATAACAATTTGAGAAACAGTGACACCTTTCACATTTAATCTTGTAGTGTGGCTATCTTATTCTTATTCTTGTGTGTAGACAGGCAAGCAGAGATGCTCATGGCTTAAGGGACCCAGTCACAATCTCACGCCAAGACCAGAAAGATAAGCAGAGCTTCTTGCTCCTAAACCAAGCTCTCGACTTCATCCATACTGTTTTATCATTCTAAAATATCTTAGCTCTCCTACTTAAAAGCCAGATTTGCATATGAGAAAGTATTTGTTAAATTAATGAACTAATATTTGAGGCTTAGGAAATCCCATAGCACATTGAAGAAATTAAGCAAATCTACTGATTCTAAAGGTAAGATGTTACTGAACCACACACAAAATAAAATAACTCTATTCTTTCCTTTTATATTCCACATCATACTGTATTTAAGCATAAGAGGAAATATTTTGACCATAAATTATTATATTTAAAAACTTTGCCAGGCACAGAAAGAAAAATCCTGCATATTCTCACTTAAATGTGGAATCTAAAACAATCGAACTCATAGAAACCCAGAGGAGAACGGTGGTTACCAGAGCCCTTGGGGTAGGGTAGGAGGGAGAGAATGGAGAGATGATGAAGAAAGGTTTAAAGCCTCAGTTAGGCAGGAGAAATAAGTTGTTTTTTGGATATCTATTGCATAGCATAGTGAGTATAGTTAATAATAATGTATTACACCCTTCAAAATCACTGACAGAGTAAATTTCAAATTTCTCACCAGATAAAAATAAGTATTTGAAGTGATAGATATATTTAGCTTGATTTAATTACTCCACATTGTATTCATGACTCATAGTATCACTTTGTGATACTATATATCACATAGTATCACCCCATAAATAAAATACAACTATAATTTGGATAATGACTCCAATGTTGTTTAAAATACACACACACACACACACACACAGAACAAATGAGATGAAAATATATATACATGTTAAGTGGTTATCTCTGAGTAGTGGGCTTATAGGCAAATTTGATTTTTCTTTATACATCTTTGAATCTTCCAAATTCACTATAATAAACACACCATAGTATCTCCAAGTTTTATACTTGGAAAAATGTTTCCTCATTACTTTTTAGCTTCTTTACTTAACCAATGCTGATACAAGCAGCTTCACGTATCAGTTATCAAAAAATACCTCAAATACATAAAAAAAAATTGTCAGCTTGATTTTTCTTTCTTATTTATTTTTTTCTTTTTGGAGACGGAGTTTCGCTTTTTCACCTAGGCTGGACTGCAGTGGTGCAATCTCGGCTCACTGCAACCTCTGCCTCCTGGGTTCAAGTGATTCTCCTGCCTCAGCCTCCCAAGTAGCTAGGACTACAGGCACATGTCACCACACCCAGCTAATTTTTGTATTTTTAGTAGAGATGGGGTTTTGCCATGTTGGCCAAGCTGGTCTCGAACTCCTGACTTCAGGTGATGCACCTGCCTGGGCCTCCCAAAGCTATAGGATTACAGGCATGAGCCACCATACCCAGACTGATTTTTAAGTTCTAGAAGATGAGCATATTATTCCTAGTCTTTCCTCTTGATAAGTATTAGGCAAATGTGTCAGAAATAAATAATGGTTGTCAGTACTTCATTGATGCGAGAGACAATCTACTAATCAATCTCTCTCTCTCCTCCCATACCCCTTCTCTCTCTTCTCTTCCCAGTAGAAATACCATTAGCCAGTTTACGAGGGGAACAAGGTCCCCGTGGAGAGCCTGGCCCAAGAGGACCACCTGGGCCCCCTGGTTTGCCAGGTCATGGGATACCTGGAATTAAAGGAAAACCAGGGCCACAGGGATATCCAGGAGTTGGAAAGCCAGGTATGCCTGGAATGCCAGGGAAGCCAGGAGCCATGGGCATGCCTGGGGCAAAAGGAGAAATTGGACAGAAAGGGGAAATTGGGCCTATGGGGATCCCAGGACCACAAGGACCTCCAGGGCCTCACGGACTTCCTGGCATTGGGAAGCCAGGTGGGCCAGGGTTACCAGGGCAACCAGGACCAAAGGGTGATCGAGGACCCAAAGGACTACCAGGACCTCAAGGCCTTCGGGGTCCTAAAGGAGACAAGGGCTTCGGGATGCCAGGTGCACCAGGTGTAAAGGGCCCTCCAGGGATGCATGGCCCTCCCGGCCCTGTTGGACTGCCAGGAGTGGGCAAACCAGGAGTGACAGGCTTCCCTGGACCCCAGGGCCCCCTGGGAAAGCCAGGGGCTCCAGGAGAACCTGGGCCACAAGGCCCTATTGGGGTACCAGGGGTTCAAGGACCTCCTGGGATACCTGGAGTTGGAAAGCCAGGCCAGGATGGGATCCCGGGCCAGCCAGGATTTCCAGGTGGCAAAGGGGAGCAAGGACTGCCAGGGTTACCAGGACCTCCAGGCCTTCCAGGGATTGGGAAACCAGGCTTCCCAGGACCCAAAGGTGACCGGGGCATGGGAGGTGTTCCTGGGGCTCTTGGACCAAGAGGGGAGAAAGGACCAATAGGTGCCCCAGGAATAGGGGGTCCTCCAGGCGAGCCAGGCCTGCCTGGAATCCCAGGTCCTATGGGCCCTCCAGGTGCTATTGGTTTTCCTGGACTCAAAGGAGAAGGTGGGATTGTAGGGCCACAGGGGCCACCAGGTCCCAAGGGTGAGCCAGGGCTTCAAGGCTTCCCAGGAAAGCCAGGTTTCCTTGGCGAAGTAGGGCCTCCTGGCATGAGGGGTTTGCCAGGTCCCATAGGGCCCAAGGGGGAAGCTGGGCTCAAAGGTGTGCCAGGACTCCCTGGTGTTCCAGGGCTTCTCGGACCTAAGGGAGAGCCAGGAATCCCAGGGGATCAGGGTTTACAGGGCCCCCCAGGTATCCCAGGGATTGGGGGCCCTAGTGGCCCCATTGGACCACCTGGGATTCCAGGCCCCAAAGGGGAGCCTGGCCTCCCAGGGCCCCCTGGGTTCCCTGGTGTAGGGAAACCCGGAGTGGCAGGACTTCATGGCCCCCCAGGGAAGCCTGGTGCTCTTGGTCCTCAAGGCCAGCCTGGCCTTCCAGGACCCCCAGGCCCTCCAGGACCCCCAGGACCCCCAGCCTTGATGCCCCCTACACCACCACCCCAGGGAGAGTATCTGCCAGATATGGGGCTGGGAATTGATGGCGTGAAACCCCCCCATGCCTACGGGGCTAAGAAAGGCAAGAACGGAGGGCCAGCCTACGAGATGCCTGCATTTACCGCCGAGCTAACCGCACCTTTCCCACCGGTGGGGGCCCCAGTGAAGTTTGACAAACTGCTCTATAACGGCAGACAGAACTACAACCCGCAGACGGGCATCTTCACCTGTGAGGTCCCTGGTGTCTACTACTTTGCATACCACGTTCACTGCAAGGGGGGCAACGTGTGGGTTGCTCTATTCAAGAACAACGAGCCCGTGATGTACACGTATGACGAGTACAAAAAGGGCTTCCTGGACCAGGCGTCTGGGAGTGCAGTGCTGCTGCTCAGGCCCGGAGACCGGGTGTTCCTCCAGATGCCCTCAGAACAGGCTGCAGGACTGTATGCCGGGCAGTATGTCCACTCCTCCTTTTCAGGATATTTATTGTATCCCATGTAAAAAAAAAGAAAAGAAAAGAAAAGAAAGAGATTTTATAGAAGAAAAGAAAATGATGCACCAAAAAATCCAAATGAAAAACGTAATTGCTTCAAAACATTTATATAGTTGGAAAGTTATATTTAAGTGAAAATTTGGACCATCGTGTACAAATAAAAACTAAGATGCATGTTTAATACTCCACACAGCAGCCTGTAATTGAGAATGACGGAATAGATTTATGTATCAAGTACTGACACTTGGTTGTACCCACTGGAATCATATTAGCTGTTATATGTTATATGCTTCCACAATAACCTGCTTATTCAGATCAGTCAAAATATATCAGTATGAAAGATCATAGCTAATGAAAGGCACTCACTCATATTGTTTACTTTAAAATATTTATAAATATGCCTTAAAGAAATATCAACGATAACAATTACATACCGTATTTACTTGCTTAATTTCCTCTGTATTTGTGTAGATACCTTGACATGGAATGTATGGTGGGGAGACCTGTAGTGTTACCGCCCCAGTGGGAGGGGGCCCTGGGGACCCTGGTAATGCTTTAGTCAAAGGGATATCTCTATTGCTTTAGTCAAAGGGATATCTCTCTAATATCAGAGGCTGTGTCTTTTAGTAACAGCAGTCCTCATCAGAATTGTGTGTCTGTTGTCTCTAAAAGAATGGGTGAACCAATCGGCCATTGTGAATTTACTCAGTGCCTTCTCTGTACCTAGCACTGGGTAAAACACTTTCGTGGAGCATTAGACAGTAACCCTCAAGGAGCTAGAGAACCAGACGGGAGACATGAGCAGTAATTAACTCACCAGAGTTTCTATTTCATCTTTTTTTTTTTTCTGTGACTTATTTTTCTATTTTCTTTCCTCCATGTAATTTTCACTATGGCCCAACTAATATAAACACCTGGAAATTACAAGGAAAAAACCTATTCCTCCAATTGAACTTTCCAAATTTGTGGAATATTTATTTGTAATAGCAGTTATCAGTTATGCTTATATAGCATTAAAAATTCTCCTCCTTTGACCACACACACAACCACAGTGTGGTTCTAATCATGGAGATATCAGTAATTTTTAGTAACTGTGAATTTTGAAGACATATCTCTGTTTAGTATGTATGCAAATTGATGTATAATCTGAGGTTCCAAAGTCAATTTTTTTTTTTTTTTTTTGAGATTCACTCTGTCACCCAGGCTGGAGTACAGTAGCACGATATTGGCTTACCGCAACCTCCACCTCCTGGGTTCAAGCAATTGTCCTGTCTCAGCCTCCCGAGTACTGGGACTACAGTCTTGCGCCACCATGCCTGGCTAATTTTTGCATATTTAGTAAAGATGGGTTTTCGCCATGTTGGCCAGGCTGGTCTCGAACTCCTGGCCTCAAGTGATTCACCTGCCTCAGCCTTCCAAAGTGCTGGGATTGCAGGCGTGAGCCACCGCACCCAGTCAAAGTCAATTTTCAAAATCCAAGCCATACTTTATTGGTGAGGGGGGAGTTTCAGAATTACACAGAAAAATTAATGTTTGAAAAAAATTAATTCTGAAATTTCGAATTTAAAAACGGATGTGCTACTTCCGGGTATAGGAAGTAAAATTATAGGAAAAGAACTGTTTCTTTAGAAGCGGACTGTAGAAGGGCAATGTAGAATGTCAAAGGGCAACAAGAGCCTGTATTTTTAATGTCATCCTGTACTCGGCACAAATCAAAGGCCAATACAAGTCTAAAAAGGAGAAATAAATATTTTTCCAGGTTTTTGCCTGGGCACATACTAACTGCTTTGGGCATCCTAATCTGATCTCAAAACACCGAAAACCCATTTTGAGCTTGCTATTAGCCTGCTGCTGACTCTATTAGTCACTTGGAGCAATAATGTGGGGTGATGGTGGTGGAATCTTATATCTTTTTGTCAAAAATAAAACCGTGAGTTAAGGGGATAGATATAGATGGAAAAATACACAAATAAATACGGTATGAAAACACATAGAAATGTGTCTTTGTCAAATCTGAATCATTATTACCATCACAGAAATCCTTCTCTTGGCCAATATCTCATTTCCCTATACAGTATACAAGCACCATTTCTTCTCAATTTTTAAGAAGAGAAATAAGTCCATTACCACAGGGGTTCTTAGTCACTACTAATTATACAACAATCTTTTCCCAACAAAAGATGACCTCCACAACCTTTGTTTTCAAAGCAGACAGCATTTATGTGGCCAAATATCCTTTGGGTTGTTCTTGAGGATACTGGTTTTGGGCTGATGACTATGGGGGAAACATGGATCCACTGGGCTCCTTCTGCTAAACAGCCACATTGAAATGGTTTAAAAGCAAGTCAGATGAGGTGATTTGTAAAACTGTATTTATCTGTACATGTATGGGCTTTTAATTCCCACCAAGCAAGAGAGAAATTATCTTTTTAGTTAAAACCAAATTTCACTTTTCAAAATATCTTCCAACTTATTTATTGGTTGTTACTCAATTGCCTATATATATATGTGTGTGTGTGTGTGTGTGTGTGTGTGTGTGTGTGTATGCATGTGCATGTGTGTGTATGTGTATTATCAGACATAGGTTTCTAACTTTTAGACAGAAGAGGAGCAACATCTATGCCAAATACTGTGCATTCTACAATGGTGCTAATCTCAGACCTAAATGATACTCCATTTAATTTAAAAAAGAGTTTTAAATAATTATCTATGTGCCTGTATTTCCCTTTTGAGTGCTGCACAACATGTAAACATATTAGTATAAAAGCAGATGAAACAACCACATGTTCTGAAGTCTAGGGATTGTGCTATAATCCCTATTTAGTTCAAAATTAACCAGGATTCTTCCATGTGAAATGGACCAAACTCATATTATTGTTATGTAAATACAGAGTTTTAATGCAGTATGACATCCCACAGGGGAGAAGAATGTCTGTAGTGGGTGACTGGTATCAAATATTTTACAGAATACAATGAACGGTGAACAGACTGGTAACTTGTTTGAGTTTCCATGACAGATTTGAGACTTGTCAATAGCAAATCATTTCTGTATTTAAATTTTTGTACTGATTTCAAAACCATCATTAAATATCTTTAAAAGTGTGTTTCTCATCTTGCTCATATCATTCAGTTGACGCTGAACCTCACAAGCATTTTTAAATTCCTACTCTTATGAATTAGCTGCTGAAATAGAGACCTAAAATAAGCATAGCTTACATGGAACAATTTATTCCTCTTTGACATAAGAGCTCCTAGGATAAGCAGTCTAGGACTCACATGGTAGTTCCAATCAGGGCCCCAGGCTCCTTCTATCTTATTGCTCTTCTACCTCAAGGCTGTTGCCCTCATCTCCATGGTCCAGGATACTAACCATCAGTCACATTCTATCCCCAGGGAGGATGAACAAAGCAGGAAGGACAGGATACGCTTTTTGCTTTAAAGAACTCAACCTAGTAGCTGCTTGGATCACTCTCTCCCATATCCCTTGGCTCCAAATTTAGTCACATGACCACAAGAGGCTGTAAGGAAGTGTGGGAAATTGAATAGTCTATGTAACCATATGCCCAGCTAAAAATCAGGGGTTCTATTTTTAGTAGTATGGGAGAAGAGAGAATCCAAATTAGGGAATAATTAGCTGCTGCATCTGCCACTTCCATTACAAAAGAAAAAATGGCCATGGACTTCTCTTTTCCCGTAAGAGACCAATCTTCAAATACTCCATTCTATTTCACTCTGCCACAAAAATAAGCCAAATATTTTGAGGGGAGATAGTGGTGAGTGGAGCTAAAGGGAAGAAGCAGACCTGTTTGAAGAGCCTAAGGGTCTTAGTAAGACCCTGAGAAGAATTATTTTGTGATGACTTACCAATCCCAGAATGATCATAACTTACCACATCTAAAATATTACAAAGGGATTATTCAAATCATTCAATAAGCAAGTATGTACCACCAGTCTATGGCTGGTTAACTTACTTGTTTAAACCATCAGGCTACAACTTCCATTCCCATATAGCCCAGTTAGTTTGGTTTTATTTCATAGCCAAATACACTTCCCTCACAGTCATCTTATTGGCATAGAGTGTTGTCACAAAAGTGAATGGAAGAATAGATAGAGGAAATAGAGGCAGGGAAGAATAAATGGTTAGAATTTGTAATGCTGAACAGCAGGGCAAATCTATCATCACTGTTACTAAATAAAGGAAATCAAAATATATATCTTATAATGGGTGTATAGTACCCCTTTATATTAAAACAGAACACAAATAAAGTAGCCCCTACTTGGTGCCTGATACTACTAAGCAATGTGAGGCATACAAAAGGACAGAAAACATAACTCTTCTCCTTAAAAAATCATCTTCTGGGCCAGGTGTGGTGGCTCACACCTGGAATCCCAGCACTTTAGGAGGCTGAGGCGGGCAGATCACGAGGTCAAGAGATCGAGACCATCCTGGCCAACCTGGTGAAACCCTGTCTCTACTAAAAATACAAAAATTAGCTGGGGGTGGTGGCACGCGCCTGTAATCCCAGTTACTCAGGAGACTGAGGCAGGAGAATCGCTTGAACCCAGGAGGCAGAGGTTGCAGTGAGCCGAGATCAATCCACTGCACTCCAGCCTGGCACCAGAGCAAGACCGTGTTTAAAAAAAAAAAAAAAAATTATCTTCTGCTTGGAGGATATCAAGATGTTTGTTAAACAGAAAATTGATTTTCCAAGAGCGGAGCCTGCACAGAGCAGGTGTTGTTGACTGGATTCATACGTGCTAGAGAAATTCAGAAAGAGAAAGACAGTTCCATGCCTCCCTCTTCCTGGGAATACCTTCTCTGACCTGTCTGCTGGGTAAACTCCTCACCCTTCAGGGTCATTTTCTCCCCCACATCACCAACCTGCCTCACACATGCCTCTGTCCCTTCACTTTTTCTGCTTTGTAACTGAACCACTTGTCATCTTCCCTATTACAGTATAAGCTTCTGTGAGCAGGCTAGTTCTTTCATTTTTTCATCCACAGCCCATCATCGAGTAGTGGTCTAATACCAGGATGAGGAAAGAACGAATCCTGAAGAATGCTGTGGGGTGAGGGGTGGGGGCAGGGAGTCCTAAACTGGATGTGAGTTTAGACCAAATGGCAGGAAACTCTCTTCTAGCTCACGTATTCAAGATTATGTAGAAGCTAACTGTGGGATAAAAATTTCAGATTGTTGGAGAGGTGATTTTTAAAGATATGTAGAATTTGGAGGGAGGGATCATGAAAATATCCCAAGAGAAACAGCTTCTCCTCCTCTAATCGAGAGGAGAAAACTAAGTGTGTATGTGTATGTGTCTTGAGTGGCAGGCAGAAAGGAAGTTGAGCTCAGGGAAATGGTCTGACTAGATCAGAGCATCTACCCAAGGACTAGTAAAGGAAATTAATTTAATAACTAAAGGAAGGTCAGT